TTTGTATCCCTGCTTCCAGTTTGATCACATGAGCTTTTTGTGTGGTCGGTGGTTCTGAATATGGACAAACAGGCAGATGAATTCTATTCCTACTCTTTACTGTAATAAGCTTGGTGGCCCTGAAAAGAGCCGTTTTGTTTCCAATGTTGGTGATGATTTAACCTCTGAAACCAAACAGAGTGCGTCTCTGTCACTTCAAAAACGTAGATGACATCCATGGCCACTTACGCTTGGCGTGTTTAGTGTAGATGACAGCATCACAGATCTCATTTTTCAGGAACACCTTCAGCACACCTCGTAAATCAAACCGGAGATACGTCAGACACCGCCACGGCGAGCCAGACGACGGATGGTGGTTATCTCGAAGAATTTGCGTTTGGTTCTGAACATGGCGATGAGTGTGTAAAATATTACGCAATTCCATCCTCCCTATTCACACGCGCCCGAGGATCGGAGGCGAATGCCACTTCGACTTGTTTCGTCTACTTACTACTCTCTGACGACTGTGCTGGGGAAGCAGCATATGCATGTAGGTAATTGGTGGATTTGTTAGTTAATTCGACGCTTTTGGACAATGCTGAACATTTACCAGTTTTTCAATAGTTTCTTGTTGAAAATCAACACTCGGAAGCATTGTTATCAATGCGTAGCCATATTTCTGATCGATTGGTAATAAAATTATTGAAATTGGACCAGGGGTAGCTGAGTTATTAACGTTCAAAATCTTTCTAAATTTGTTACATGATCCATTTTTGGTTTTCACAAAGTGTACCCCCATATAGAAATCAAAGACGTAGTCCTACGTCAAAATTGCTACGGCATGTTCTGTGTCCAATTTGTTAGTTACAATTTTTTAAATTCTCTAAAATGATGTTTTTTTTTTGGTACATCACGTGTAAAATAAGCTATTTATAAGTGTGTAGTAAAGCGGGTAAAAAATGTACGGGAAACACACTTTTTTTTTTTTATTATTGAATTGCAGCTTGTGTAACAATAACTTCCAGGAAAAAAGAGATCGACAAATTCCATGAATAGAAACACTTAGAAATACTTATACTACCAATGAAATAGCGCCATCTATGTAAAAATAAAGACTTGACTTAATGGTTCACTATCAAACTTTGATTGCTGAAAATAAAGAACAACCATCAATCAGTGCCGTTGTAAACTGTGTTGCATAATATTTCCACTGAACAAATCAAATACTAGCGGCGTCGGTGGTGTAGTGGTAAGCGTGATTACCTCTCACCCGAGCAGGCCTGGGTTCAATCCCAGTCGGCGCCGCCGGGATGTTCTGAGACATAACATCTCTGATCACGCCTTCCTTCGGGGGGAAGGGGAGAAGTAAAGCCGTTGGTCCCCTGTTCATGAGTTGATGGATCAATAGGTAGGGTTCAGGTGTGGGAGTTGCCTCCCTGGCGTCGGTAGCATTGGTGATCAGCACGGAAAAAAAAAAATCAAATTCCAAACTGCAATGTAACACCTTATCATAGTGATTCAATTAAAACTTTGCTCCTAATTGTGTCAATTCCTCCTTCAAAACTAAAACATGAGTTCGCAACTCTAATGCATTAATCTACCAGGTTGCCTTCACCTTCCAATTAAAAAGACTGAGTCATCCTCAAAGGTAAATGCTTGCTTCGCATTGCACAAGGAATAACATTTCAGGGCAATCTGCTACTCTGACAGATGAGCCAATTTTTCTCGTAATCAACCCCAGGAGAACTTTGGAATTAATCACACTTCAAGTGAAAGATATACAATGTAAAACAAAAGCAAAGTTTTAATTCATTTTAGCCACGTTGCGCCCCGGAAACCACGTTTTCATCAGTTGATTATAATCTGTCGAACAGAGTGTTTTTGTTTACCCTTCCCTCAATAGAAGCAAAGCAGGATTAGAAAACTAAAAGCGTGATCTACGAGCACAGGGCATGGTGGTCCAAGCAGTGAAAAAGTGAAAAGTGTTGGAACAAAAAGGAAACTGTGGCTGATGCTTAGGGTGGGTGAGCCAGTAGTGGACGAACGAAGGCAATTTATTTAATTAAAAATATATAAACTATATGCATATTATTTTTATAAGTCAATCTATCCTTTCAATTCTATTTTGCTAAAAGAATATTACATATGTTTCTGCTAAGGTTCTACTCTACTTGGTTTTATTTTTCGTTTCGCAAGAGATTTCAGGGATACTTCTGTTTGAGAACGCTTTATTTCTCTCTCGTCTGGTCTACACTAGAACACATAACATATGTGGAACTTCATACAAAACTGCTGACTAAAAGTTGACCCCTTTTTGTGTTGCCAAAAATAAATTTTCGTGATTTCGAAACTGAGCGTTCATATGGGCCAATGTAATTTGCTCGTAATTCAAAGCTAAGTCAGCAATTCTATCGGCTAGGGGGAATTTTCCTATACACACACATCGTGGTGGCTTACTTCATTCTCGAGAAATTCACGGAAAATGTTAATGTTTACGTTTGTTACATTGGCCCTTATGAAAGAATAGCAGATATTTGCATTGGCGTAGCTAGAAAATTTATTTGGAGGGGGCCTAGGGGGGACCTACCGCATTTATTTTATTTTGCTAAACTACGGTTAAATAAAAACTCGCGAAGATGTTATTCAATCCAATTGCATCAAGGCAACTTTTTGTTGCGTGTGACCAATAATATGACATTGAGCATTAATTTTATTTTAATTGTGAAACAATAAATTTGATTACATTTATTTCATAAAAGCATACTGCATACTGATTTTGAACAAGCAATGATCATTTGTTTATTTGTAATGAAATCACATAGCGTCCGTATGTCATAAAACTTAAAACTTAAGAAAATTCTCAGAGTTAGGAAATCCCATGATTTTTGTTAAAAGGTTTTTATTTAGATTTTGAATATTTGTTTTCCGTCGATCTTGTTTTCCGTCGATCTTGTTTTCCGTCGATCTTGTTTTCCGTGCTTAGCACCAATGCTACCGACGCCAGGGAGGCAACCCCCACAACTGGACCCCACCTATCGAATCATCAACTCATGAGCCGGGGATCCCGACGTGATCAGAAACATAATGCCTCAGAATATCCTGGCGTCGCCGACTGGGATGGAACCCAGGCTTGCTGGGGTGAGAGGTAATCACGATTACCACTACACCACCGGCGTCGCTTTTTTTTTTTGAATATTTCATTATCAGTTAAATCTCAGACATAGGAACCAAAATTAAATTTTAAGAGTTTGAATTTTATAATTTTATTAAGTTCTGGTTTTGAAACATGGTAAAGTGCACACAACATAAATTTCATACATTTAGAACTTAGGAAAATGTTCAATATATATGTCGATACACAATTCTTAACATTCAACGAAATTATAGCAATTGTCATAATTCTATGGCTTAGAAGTTTTTAGAAGTTTATTGAACTATTTGAATCTTTACAAAATTACCTGAACTTTTTCAAATCCCTTCTACAATGTTTGCTGCACTTCTACGTTTCTCGTAAAGTTCCTCGAACGAAATTTCTTGAATTTTTACGTAATTTCTACTCCTTTCCATTCCAAGTCAATGAAGCTTCAAAAAAGTGCCCTGAAATTATTTAGAGATTCCCGGAATGATTTAAAAAAAATCATTATTTGCGGATCAATTTTATTAATCGCTGTTATAATAAAAATGTTAATAAATACTAACCTCGAACTTGACAAGCTTGACAAAATACCAACGAGTCAAAAAACACTAAAAAATCTGGGGGGTGCCTAGAAAATTCTGGAGGGGACGTGGCCCCCTTGGCACCCCCATTAGCTACGCCAATGGATATTTGGTTGCATGCTCGGTACACGCTATTTGATAACAACCCATATTTTGGTAGAATCCCCCCAGATCGGTCAAAACTGAACCTACCCAAACTGTGTTGGGAGTGACAAGTTAACGAATGAACAACGTAGTCGGATTCATGTCAATGTTGTTCATTTGTCGACTTGTCATTCCCAACGTAGTTTACCCATTTTAGGGAAGGTTCAGTTTTGGCCGATCTGCACACTTAGAAAAAAATCATGTAAATTTAGGTGCTCTGAGAGTGACATATACGAGCGTCAATTTTGACATAAATTTGAGTCATAACAGACGCGAAATATAGCTCAATCAAACGTACTCTTTGTTGAGCAACGAACTTTTCAGTTTCGGAGCACTTAATATTACATGACATGTTTGTTTACGTCTCATCTTTTATGTCAAAGACGGATTCGTGTAAACGTGTAAAATTAGTTATTTCTAAATGTGTGGGTGGATTCAAACCAAATTTTGGCTGTTTTGAAATTGTGTCGAAGCATTGACGGTGACGGCGGCTCTGTAACTTTTATTTCTATGGTGTAGTCCCATAAGCATCTGCCAATACGTGCATGAAATCTAACGGGCTTTGACTTAACTCTTCGCTCCACCATGGTACAGTATCTTACGGGATTTATCACTATAGTGAAAGGGTAAGAAAGTGAACATAAATGTTTCACGCACGGACTGACGTTCGCTTAAGGGATTTTACCATACACAGCAAAAAATAAATTTTAATATTACATCGATGCACTTCAGTCATGTCGAAAATCTCATGTAATTTTTATGGCAACACAAATAAACAAATGCAGTAAAAGCAACGTAATTACAGTTCATACACTCTATTAATGATAATTTTGCCTTTTTTCGCAAGTAATATTACACCATATTTTCGACACGATTGAAGTGCATCCACTTTGATGTGATATTAAAATTATTTTTTTGCTGTGTAGGAGTAAAGAGTTACAGAGTGGCCAACAAGGCGAATTGTCAATTGTCATGGTAATGCGGGCAATCTTTTTTTCCACAAATAGCTCTAGAACACAGGGGACTTATCAAAGAATTTATTAACGAATATCTTCAAGTTGGTCAGAAGTCAATCAAGGGCATTGTTAACCAGTCATACCCAAACAACAATTTTTGTTTTATTTAAGTTTTATTGCAGTTGATACAACCAAAGTCTCACTATGGACCTGACAACTAGTGCTCCAATGCGCAATAATCCAATGTTAGAGTTGGACATTCTGGACGAGCTGAAGTCATTATCAGCAAACATTATGACAGTACATAGTACTGCACCTTTGACTCTGTCTCCGGATTTGTGTCCCAGCCTGGACTCAGAAATAAACAATACAAATAAAAATAACAACAATAATGATGCCACTGACTCAGGATGGAGACTTCTTGGTACCCGGAAGGTGTGGAGACCAGATTGGACGGACTACGACGCTCGTGTATCGCGCCGCTTGAGTCAGCAAAAATTGGCTGACAAGGCTAAAAAATGGAGGAAGCAGAACACATCACGTCAAAATTTAGGCTACAACATCCGTAACGACAACATCCGTAATAACAACAACAACAACAACAACAACAACAACAACAACAACAACAACAACAACAACAACAACAACAACAACAACAACAACAACAACAACAACAACAGCAACAACAACAACAACTACAACAATAACAAAATCAACAACCAGCACCAAAATCAAAGCAGAAACGACAACTACGATGTTTACTTCTACAACAACAGTCGTAACAGGGATAATAGTGACATCAATCGCAGAAACATTGGACTGAATCGCGCCCACTTACTTCCGTCTGATAGAGAGCTTCTTGCAGTAGCGAAAGATCGCTTCTCCAGGCCACCGACTAATTATCGTCCAACGATGCAATTTCATCGAGGTGAAATTCTAAACCCATATCCGGAGAGCGAATCTCCATGTACCATTCCTGCGCCTAACCGGATGATTTCAGCTACTGCATGTGAGGCATGTTCATGCAGGCATTCGTGTTTTCGACTAAATTGACGAGTCATCTAGAGGAAAGTCCCAACGATGACAATGTTTTTGAAGAACTGGACAACTTTCACGATTTGACGACCTCTCGACAGCAGGAAGGAGAGGTAATTAATTTAAATAGTTTTAGTTTGCCGCCTAGTACTGAAGCACAAAATTTGGAATTGCATCGTAATGATGAAAGTAAGGAGTTGGTCATTTACTGTCAGAATTTTAATAGAATGAGAAGCGCCACCAAAGTGAATGAGATTTACAAGAAAGTTAATGCTTGCACTTTTCCTGTGATTTTAGGAACAGAAACAAGTTGGGATTCTAGTATTAATAACGAAGAAGTTTTTGGCGATCGTTTTAATGTTTATAGAGATGATCGCGATAAATTATTATCCAACAAAAAATGCGGTGGAGGTGTGTTAATAGCAGTTAGCGTGGAGTATGAATCTGAGCAAATTTCATCTTGCAAGAACAAGGAGTTTGACCATGTATGGGTCAAATTAATTATTGGTGATCGTGTTCATATTTTCGCGGTTGTGTATTTTCCACCAGAACATGCTAAAAAAGAAGCATTTGAAAAATTTTTTGGTCTTGCTAGCAGTATTATGTCGGAATTCGAGGCTGAAGCAAACGTTCACATATACGGAGATTTTAATCAACGGGCAGCTAATTTTATTGTAGATGACGAAAATGAATCCATTTTGATTCCGATTATGGGGGAAAATGAAACACTTCATACTTTGTTTGAAAAATGCGCAGAAATTGGATTGAATCAAGTAAATCATATAAAAAATCAAAATAACTGCTATTTAGATTTGCTATTTACTACCATGACTGACGATTTTTGCGTATCAGAGTCACCTTCTCCTCTTTGGAAAAATGAAGTGTTCCACACTGCTATTGAATATTCCATAATGATACTTGAAAAAACCGCAATGGTGGATAATAATTTGTCAGACCCCTATTTCGATTTCAGTAAGGCAGACTATGGAGCTATCAAAAATAAATTGAACAGTATAGATTGGCAACTTGTAATCCGTAGTCATGATACAGAACATGCAGTTGATGTATTCTATCAGATTATTTATTCTATTCTAGAACAGACAGTGCCCATGAAGCAAAAGAAAAAAGCCAATGCAAAAACACCAATATGGTACAATAGACAGATAATAAATCTTAGAAACAGAAAGCAGAAAGCTCATAAAGCGTACAAGAGAAACAAAAATGATGAAAATTTTACCTATTATCTTACTATTTGTGACCAACTTAATTTAGAAATTGAAAATGCATATGAAGAGCACAATAGAAAGATTGAAACTAACATTAAGTCAGACCCAAAATCCTTTTTTAACTATGTTAAAGAACGGCAAAAATCCAAGAGCTTTCCATCCAAAATGCAATTAGACAGTAAGTTGGGCAATACTCCTAGTCAGATTAGTAACTTATTTGCTGACTTCTTTCAGGACGTTTATACAATTCATGATGAGAATGAGCGAGATTATCAATATTTTTCGTATCTCCCCAAGCCAATGAAGAACATCGCAGTGGATAATTTAACTCTCAAGGAAATTATACGTGGTCTTGAAACCTTGGATGCTTCAAAAGGTGCTGGACCGGATGGTTTACCACCTATTTTTTTAAAGTCACTTTCGACGGAGCTAGCAAAACCTTTGTTCTGGCTGTTTAATTTATCCTTGGAGTCGAGTGTACTTCCTCCGATTTGGAAGGAATCATTTTTAATTCCAATTTTTAAAAGTGGTAAAAAGTCTGATGTAAAAAATTACCGTGGAGTTGCTATATTATCAAGCATTCCTAAATTATTCGAATCCATCATTAATGACAATGTATTCTTACAGATTAGGTCGGTAATTACTAGCAAACAGCACGGATTTGTTAAAGGACGATCTACAACTACCAACTTGATACATTTTGTGTCATACTGTTTAAACTCAATGGATAAAGGAAATTATGTAGAAACGCTATATACTGATTTCAGTAAAGCATTTGACAGAGTTGATATACCACTCTTGCTTTTTAAGCTATCCAAATTAGGCTTCAGTCCTAGGCTACTGAAATGGATCGAGTCGTACTTATCAAGGCGGACGCAAAAGGTAAGATTTGAAGGAAATCTGTCCACCATAGTTAATGTAACATCTGGTGTGCCACAAGGTTCACATCTTGGTCCATTACTGTTTATTTTATTTGTCAACGATATAGAACATATTTTTAAATTTCTTCATGTTTCTATATATGCTGATGACATGAAACTTTTCATGGAGATATCTAAAGCACCTGATCTTCAAATATTTCAACAAGAAATTGACGTTTTTTACACATGGTGTAAGAAAAATTTGTTAGAACTAAATATTAATAAATGCAATTCTATATCGTTCACAAGAAAGCAAGCTGTAATACACGACACAATTACTCTTGGCCAGAAAACAATCCAAATATCCTATCAAGTCAGAGACTTAGGTGTTATCCTCGACTCCAAGTTAACTTTTGCTGATCACTACAATAACATTATCTACAAAGCAAGCAACATGCTCGGGTTCATTAAAAGATTTAGTTTGCACTTCAATGATCCCTACACAATCAAAACACTTTACGTAGCATATGTGAGGCCTCTTCTCGAATATTGTAGCATAGTTTGGGCTCCATATCATGATACACATGTAAACCGCATTGAATCAGTTCAAAAGCAGTTCTTGTTGTTCGCTCTAAGAAAGTTGGGTTGGACGAGTTTTCCACTTCCATCTTATGAATCGCGTTGTATGCTAATTAATTTAGATGAGCTCAAAAAGCGAAGAGAGTTCGCAATGATTGCTTTTATAAACGATGTGATTTCGCAAAGAGTTAACAGTCCAGAGATTTTGGAAAATATCAATTTTTATGCTCCCACTCGCTCACTGCGGAATAGAAATTTGTTTAGCATCAACAATCAAAGAACAGACTATGCCAAAAACAGCCCATTGAATAGAATGATGTCTTGCTATAATACATACTGTGAATATATTGACATAACAATGAATAAAAGTACGCTTAAAAAAACTTTCTTCACGAGGTTAGCTAGGCATCAATAATTAAATATAAATGCTATGCAAGTAATTGAAGTAAAATTGTAACAATTAGCGTTTAAGTAAAACTGTAAAACGGTCTACACTGATTGACGACTAATAAATAAATAAATAAATAAATAAATAAATAAAATTATAAAACCTTTACTGACGACCACATTGCTTTAACAACCTCATGAGAACCGCTATACAGCCATGTCATGGCCAATTGGCCCAGTTTTAATGCAATAATTAAAACTTGATATGCGAACTACCTTAGAAGCATAGGTTTTATGTCAGTTTTATCACACTCTACACGTGGTTGTTAAAAATGAAAACATAAAACCTCCTCAAGGTTAGAAAGTTTTAATAACCTTTTGATGACTACCATAAAACTATAATACATCCGCATAAATCGCTCCTGAAGAAGTTGATAAAACATGATACGCAAAAATTTTTGACAACCTTGTAGGTTTAAGTTGGGGTTTTTGGATGATAGCTAATATTGAGAAATATTTTATTGTGGTTTTATTCTTTCGATGTGAAATCATGATCCTTGTCAGTTGGTAATAATAGCTGATATTGTTGTACATTGAAAATAAGACGACTTTATTAAGATTTTAAACCTAGTTTTAAACCAATCTGTATATGCTTCACAGCATGCCGTGCAATATTTATGCAATATGCAATATATTATTATACCAAATATAAGGATATTTTTAATTTGTATTAGCACCATGCATTAAAGAGTGTTAAAAGATTATCTATTTAGTACAAAACTGTTACTACTGTTGAGCAATAACCAGTCACATATTATTTAATTATACATAGATGTCTGAAAGAGTTTTATCTTCGATCAATTAAAGCGTAATTATTCATACTGTGTGCAATTTGTTCATACGGCGACATGTTTTTCGTTATAACTTGCTACTCCTTAAAAATACCTCAATATAACATATTCTCCTAGTGTGGAATTCTATAGCATAACATAAACCTAATGCTTGTATATTAGCATTTCGTAGTCCAAATTAAAAGCGTTAAGTTATATTTAACCTCTTTAACTGGTTTTATTCGGTACAGCGAATCAAAACAAAACAAAAACCATGGCCACCTGTCAAAAAGTCAACATTCCAAGCGATCCTCCTATTTTCTCTTGAAATCAAGATGTAAGAAATGCTTATTGGCTCCATTAAAAGCTTTTTCAATACAAGGTTTAAAGCCGTGATGCCAATACTGGCCATCTCCAACCGGATTTAGTGAAACTGTCTTGCGTTGTTTCAAGAAGGGTTCGTGGATCTTTCGGAAGTGTATAGGAAAGCCGCTTGTTCAATATTTTTAAGATCTCCTTCACCGCACTGTGCCTTATGTTACATGAGGGAGCCCATAACTGTAGATCCTCCAGGAGTTTCATATTGGCGATCGTTTTATCTTCATAAAACGTGACGTGAAATTCAGCTCAATCAAACGTACTTTTCGTCGAGCAACGAACTTTTCAGTCTCGGAGCATCTCTTATCTCTCATGTCAAAGACGGATTCCTTCACGTGTAAAATTAGTTATTTCTAAGTGTGTAATCAAATGCGCACTCCTTTGCCTAATTCATACTTTGATGACTAACTCATATAGTAGTTATGATTAGTATTGTCGCAGTAATGGCCCTTCGCTCAACACAACTTCTGTTCAATTTGCACACTGCCGTAGCCTTGCGGAACTATCCATCTATTCTCTTTAGAACTTTTTTTTGCGAATACATTAGCTTTTTGTTAATATAAGTATAGCATTTCTTTCCAACTCTGAAAATCATACGTCTTACGTCATCATCATATAATCTGCACGTATGAAGTAAGAGTTAGTACGCTATTTTATGTAATCTCTACACAGGAAAGACAATTAGGATAACATAAAAAGCTAGAACAAGAAGTT